ACTGGAGCTTTTAAAAAATGAACATAATTAGTGATACTTTCAAAAGAGAAAAAGGCTTGTCTTCAGGTACAGCACCCTGTAGGGACCCGGCGACTTCAGAATGGATTCTGTCCAGGGAGAGGGTCGTAGCTTCTATCTACAGTCACGGGGTAAAGAAAGTCCAGAGAGCCCTTGGCTGTGGACGGGGATGAGACATGCTCTGGAGCTCGGACTGTCACTGCGTTTAAGGAGAAGGGAGACTCCTGGGTGTTCAGGAGGCAGTCACTGTTTTTCCTCACGGCTTTGCCTACCGAGAGGGTTGAGCCAGTTTAACTTCTGGCCAGAGACTCTTCGGCAATGGCCAAGAAGTCCAGTTTTGTCTTTCAGTGTTTGAGATTTCTTGCAGTTTAGTGCATTTCTCATCCATCTCCCACCTCTCCTGGGGAGTAAGTCTATTCCATCCCCATTGATTTCCGCTGCTTGGTCCTGCATATAGGTTTAAGACTCAGCCTGTGAAAATCGCCTGTTCACAAACAGGTTTCATTCCCTGGCTTCACAATGAGCCTAATGGTAGCAGCACAGGAGTTGCAGCCCGAAGAGCTGCACCCCTCACCGGCTCCAGGGCCGCCGCTCTCATTTCTCTGTGAACTCCGGCCAGGGGGAAGGCAGAAGGCTGCTGTGTGTTGTGTGCAGGCGCAGACTCCCTTTGCCCCACGGGCTCATCTCTTCTAGTGCTAGTTGGCGCCGAGACTGCTGCTGGGGAGAAGAGCTGGAGCATCTTATTTGTCCCAGCAGCAGGACACTGGCTCCCTCTTCCTGGCTGGCAGGGAGGCCTGGCCTGGGCTGCCAACGGGCTCTGGGCAGTTGTGACTGCAGGAAAGGACCGTGGGGTGCAAAGGCCGAGGTACTGTTAGGGCTCAGGACAGCAGGAGCCCCAAGGCCGATGGCTGTGGAAATCGAGGCACAAATCTGGGTCTGAGTGTCCTGGGAGAAGCACCGAGGGAAGCAGCATCATGGCAGCTGGCCCCAGGCGGCGGCAGCTGCAGGTGGGGCGAGGCTGTGGCTTTGCGTCCTGGCCCCATGCAAGGTCCTGTCACAGAGCTGTGACTCCTGCTTGTAAGCGGTGCCTTGGGCACCGGAGCAGGTCCCTGGGGCCTCTCAGCTAGAGGCACTCACTCGAGACCGGGGGCATGTTGTCAACACACTGGCTTTCATGCATAACCAAGAATCAAACTCTGCTGCTAAAATTTTAACTGTTTAACTGTTACCCTTACATGGTAATTGTGTGCCCAAAGGCCAAAGAAAACATCAGCAGTGGTGGGGGCTGAGGGAGACGAAGCCTTCAGTTTGTAACTGGAAACTCGGGGTGTAAAATAACTGCCAGCCTCACAACATGCGCCTGAGGCCTCCCAGAGCCCTCGGGCCTTGAGCCTCACATCTCTGCCTGGCACCCGGAGCCCTGAGGTGCCTCCCCACTTACCAACTGGATGCTTGAGCAGCTTTTTCAACCTCTCTAAACCATCTTTTACTACTTTAAATAGAAACCTAGTCACACACCCGTACTCCCATCGCTCTGGGGTCACAAGTTTGAGCACAGCCTGGGCAACTCAGCAATTTTGTGAGGCACTATCTCAAAATAAAGATTGAAAAAGGGCTGGGCGTGCAGCAAGGTGTGCAGCCTCTGAGTTCAATCCCCAGCGTGGAAAAATAAAAAAAGAACAAAAATAAGATTTTCACAAGATTTATATGGAATAAACTATATAAAGAATTTAGGCTTGGGAAAGTTACTTATTACAATCTTGTCACAGCTGCTCTCCTCTCCAGGATAACGTTGAGCACAGTAAGATAGTAGCCCTAGTGAAAGTGACAACAAATCCTGAGATGGGTAATGTGCGTGCATTTCCTCCTCCTCTCTCCAGGGCCCCAGGGCCAGTACTCATTCTCCCGACCGTGTGCGAGGCCACAGCCTGGCTGCTGAAGTGGGGAGCACTGGGGTACCACACGCCCACAACGCGGTACCCAGCTCCAATAGCTACCACAGACACCACTGTGCTGAGATTCTCAGAGGCCACAGAGCTGGGGCTGATGGACAGGACCCAGCAGGCCACCTGAGTGCTGAGCCTGGGGCCACCGGACTGTCCGTATGGGGCTGCAGGCAAGTTACCCAACTCCGCTGGGCCTTAATTTCTTATCTGCAAGCAGGATCAATGGTGATAACAGCACAGATAGAGGTGGCTTATTTCCCCTTTTATACTTTAAACACTTTGAGGTTCTTGGTGATTATTTTACTAAGTATATCACAGTGCAGGAGAATTAAGAAGATGACTGCCCATTCAGCCTATGGATTCCTGAAGACCAAGCTTTCCAGAGTACTTTCTGTCTGTACCATCAAACGGAAATCCACATTTATGTACAGAAATAGCCCGCACGACAGGTAGTAAATGAACGGGGCCAAGTTTTAGTGCTGTTGACAGCAGAAATCAGAAATTCTGAGGACTGTGACAGGCAAGGAACACTTCTGGCAGGAGGCAAGAACCAAGCCTTGTAGCTTGTGCTAGGTTAGGACACATTTCATAGACGAAAGTATTTATTTTTGCTAATTCTGAAGATATTGAAGCATCTTATAGCTCTCCAAGTCAAGGCTCAGTTTTTAGCTTGTATAACTTCATAGCAACATGGTACATAGGATAATGAAGCAGAGGCAAGGGAAGGCTGGGAGCAAAGGGAGTAATATATTTGTGTCCACAGGTATTGGGGATCTAACATCTCTTGACTCAAGGGATCAAAAATTGACTGTGTGCATGATTAACAATCCAGCAATATTACCAGCATACTTAAAGCTTCCAATATGTGGTCCTGGCATGAGTGTCCACTCTGCTAGGCCAGTGTTAGTATTGCAGGTGTCCTGATACGGATTAGTGTGTCAGAGATGGCAGTTATTAAGTAGCGGTCATAAGACTGGCCCCAGGTTCAGCCAGACTCTGAAGACTGTGCTCGCATCACTGATTCCCCTTTCTACCCCTGCCCCAATGTCTGAGTGTTCACTGCTGTACTACAGGCCACAGCTGCAGAGGAGGCTCTTGCAGAGGGGTCCCAGTGCCAGCCGTGCACCGCTCTGTTCTGCCCTGCGTTCTGCACAGAAGCCTGGCTGAGGAGGGGCTCGCATTCTGCTAATTCACAGAAGGCTCCTCTGAAAGCCTGGTCTGTGAGGGCAGACAGCCTGCACCTCTGAACTCCTCTGGAAAAAGGACTAGGAGATTTTTTCATGGTTTCTTGGGAATGGGTCTTTCTTCTTTTCTAATAAATGTATTTGAGGTTAAAAAGAAAAATAAAGGCTGAGTGACTTTGAGCTCTTTCTGCCAAGCAGGGCTCTTTTGGTGAAGTGCGCCACTGTGGTGACCACACTGCAGTGCAGTGGGGCAGGAGGGGAGCTCCAGATCCACTTTACTCACCTGACCAGCGTGCGTCACAGAGAAGACAGAATCTGTGCTACTGCAGCCTTTTACACATTACATATCAAGGCTCTGAGAACTGGGCCTTTGGCCAAAGGAGGTGACTGCTGGCTCGTCTTCCACTGCTGCTCTTTCAAACAGGTTAGTTGGGTCTGGTCTAGACGACTCCAGTTTTGGTGCTGGGGGTGAACCAGGGGTTTGTGCACGCTAAGCTTTTGCTCTGTCATGGAGCCACACCGCTGTCTATGCCCTGATGCTTTGTTCTTAATGGAGTCCGAAAAATGCTGGCTGTAGTCCTTCAAATGCTAACATTTCCTTCCCCTTTATTTCCCTCAGATGCAGCCTAGATGATTTCTTCAAAACAAGTGAGCACAGCCAGCGCAGGCTTGGCTGCTCTGTGGCTTACCAGGAGAAGTGAGAACAGAGCTGCTGGGCGGGCCGCAGCAGCCACCAGGCTTTGCTCATCTTCAGATGGGAGGTTGGCCATGAGCAGGCAGAGACCCCACAGTCACCAACCCTGAACTTACTGAGCGTCCTACCAAGGAGGTGACAGTGCAGTCTCATTTAGGAAATCACATTTCTAAAAATGGAACTTAGAGTAGCAATTTGAGAAAAAGCTGGAGAAAGGCACAAATGCTGTTTTGCAGAGAAACCCACAAGGTTTGGCTGGAAGGGCTGAGAGCCTGCTACAACTGTGGCCCCGGTCACCTGGTGTCCACCTGGAGTCCTCTCTGCTTGAGTTACAGTCAGCTCACTTGCCTCTGTGCCCACCAACTGAAATGGAGAAAGCAGACTTTAAAACATGATAGGCTTCCTGATCTTACCGGAGATCTCAGTCCCCCTCTTCCTGCAGGAAGTCTTAACTGGAGTGTCTTTAAGACCTCAGAGGTTTGTTATTTTCATACATGAAATATGGGTCTTTCAAAAAAATATGAAACATAGGAATATAGCATGTATATATATATATATATATATATATATACCTCAAATAATTTCTTCACATTCTATTCTCAATAAGAGCTGAAAGAAAACAGAGGATGAGGGAAAAAGAAAAGACTCACTACAATTATTATATTTCATTAATACTACTATCCTTCAAATCTGGCTTTGTAAAATGGTAAAATTATTCTTCAGATTGTCTGCTTGAATTTTTCCTCCCTGAGCCTTGCTAATTAAAAAATACCATAAATGTTTTAATTAGATCATTGACATTTCTTTTCAGACATTGCAAAGGGACTTAAGCATATTAAAAGACAGTAAATTTAAAGTGTGACTTGATGTTAAGGTTAATTTGTAAAAATAGTTGCATGGAGAATAAATTACATTCATGGGACAAATGTGGAATCTGATGTGGCTTCTTTCCAAGGCAGAGTGCCTATCAGAGCACACAGGAAGTGAAGCAAACTAGCAGGACCATCCAATGTGACACATTCCGTGGCATTCAGGTTGCAGTGAGAAAAGCAGTCTCCTTGGTTGATTTCACACTTCCTCTGTATGTTCCAAGAAGCAAGGTGTGACCCCACAGCTGGGTTTGCCAACAACCTTAGAAGGCCACTACCAGGTATTGCTGCAAACTCCTTATCTCTGAAGAATTAGTTCTTCTCTATGGGGAATCCAAGTCCACTTATTTAATCCAAATTTTATCTTCTTAGGGCCACTTCCTACTTGTTCAGGCTCCAGGCTTTCTGGAGCTGTGGCTTTCATTATTCCTCCTTCTACAGACCCTCCAAGTATGCCCCCCGGAAAGAAAGGTGAACACGGTCCCTGCGTGCCTCTGTGCGCTGGCCTCCCAGGGGCCCAGGGAAGCAGGAGCTGTTGTCTGCATTTGATACAGGAGGCGATCAAACCCGAGAAGCCAGGTCTCCAGCAACTCACCCATCTGCTGGTGAGGTGGTGCTGGCTGGCTCTCCCAGCCCCTCTGCTCTGCGCCTAGGCTCCCCGCCGTCCCCTCTTCCCTGCAGATGCCCCAGCTTGTTTTCTTTAGCTCCCTCTTTAATGAGTTCCACAGGACAATGCTAAGTCTAGTTATGCAGCCTTAATTGGTTTAGTTACAACAAGATAATTCCTTTTTTCTTCTCTCAGAGGCCTTTCTGTTTAAAGACATTTTAGCTGGAAGATGCTAATTATCGATGAGGGGAAAGTGACACCTGAAGAGTTCATTTTCCATGTTGGTCTCTGGGTTTCCTTTGAACTCCCTCCACCCAGCCCTCTTCCCCACTCGCTCACCATCATAAAAGAGAGAGTGCTTCCCTGTCCCTCTGGTGCTGGGCTGGCGGCACAGCTCTCTCTCCCACTTGCTGGGAGTCATTCCCTCCGCAGCTGCCCTGCGGCATGGAGAACCTACAGGAGCCCTTCCTGGGCCTCTCGGATGGCCTGGACGCCTCTGAAAGCCCTGGCCTGCTGTCTTCCTGGGACTGGAAAAACAGGGCCAGACCCTTCACAATCAGCCAGGCCTCTCCAACTCAGAGCCTTTCTCCGGCCCCATCCCTGGAGTCCTATTCTCCATCCCCTTGCCCTGCTGGGGCCGGGGTGTCCTATGGGCATGGCGGGACCAGCAGCGGGGTCAGTGCTGGCTGCAGCAGCCGGAACACGGGCGGCCTGGTGGAGATGGATTACAGTACGTTAGCTTTCCAACCTGCCTTCCTCCCAGGTGCCAGCGGCCCCAAAACCCAGAAGGGCGCCAAAGTCAAGATGTCTCTCCAGAGGAGACGCAAGGCGAGCGAGAGGGAGAAGCTCAGAATGAGGACCCTGGCCGAAGCCCTGCACACCCTGAGGAATTACCTGCCGCCTATCTACAGCCAGAGAGGCCAGCCGCTCACCAAGATCCAGACACTCAAGTACACCATCAAGTACATCGGGGAGCTCACCGACCTCCTCAACAGCAGCAGGGAGCCCAGGCCCCAGAGCTTGTGAGCTGTGCCCCTTGGGATCTGACTGGCCCCAGTCCTCTGGGTGGAACAGAGGCATGTTAAAGACCCAGAGCTGTGATGGGAGACAGTGTGGAGCTGTGTGCGCACAGTGGGAGGGGCACCCTGCGATCTGATTTTCTCCTGAACCCCTGAACCCCAGGCCAGTAGAAACCCTTGCTTCTGGTTTTCCTTGCCATCCCTCCACAGACTCATCCTTTGTAAAAAGACATTATTTTGCCCCTCTGTGTCTGCTCAAGGTATTTGAAAGGGTGACTGTATTTTAAATGCATTGTCAACAACATAAAGTAGTTGCAATTAATTTTGTGCCATTTTGGTATTGGAAGCTTTCTGCTGCTGACAAAACTTGGATTTGTATAGAATTCAGTATGACATTTGGCTTTTTATTTAGAGAGGGCTGGGACAGGATTTGTGTCAAGGGTTCTAGCCATCCCACCTGTGTGTGTGTGTGTGTGTGTGTGTGTGTGTGTGTGTGTGTGTAAAATGTACTCTTGTTGAATTAAAATCACTTAAAGGCAAAAGGAACTAGCGTCATAACAAACAGAAACTCACAAGCAGGCTAAGGCAGAGTGCAGATTCCGGGGACCAGAGCCTCCTCTCCTGGCGCAGCAGAAGGAAGGCTGGTACCCAGCAATGAGGGCACAAAGGAGTCGGAGGAAGAAGAGGCTGCAGCATCACAGGGTCATCAGAGCCCTGCTTTCCTGTCCCAGTATGACCTCATTTATTCCTTCACTTACAAATGAGATGGAGGAGGGACTTTAAATTCTCTAGATAACAGGACTCAGGTTGGCTCTAACCTTTCTGGAGGTGTATGCTTCAGCCAGGGCATGCCGCCCTCTTCCCCCACCCTGAAACCCCTACGACCTGCCTCTCCAGGGTCTGCAGTGTCCCAGGGTGTCCCTGCTGAGCACACAGGTTGCTGAAAACAGGCTTTGAATGAAGCAAGTTCTCAGAACTCCTGGGCCTAGCCAGCTGCATTTTTTGGATACAGCTGTCTGCTAATAGGATTTATTTTCAGGAAGTTGTCTCTTTGGGTCTCCTATCACCCTCTCCTTTCAGTGATGTAAACTGCAAAGGCAGTAGTTGTGTTCATGCCTTCATGCAAGCTCCTTTACATTTTTGAGGAGACAAATATAAATAAGATGAGCAGGTATATATTGTAGAGAATTGCCTTTAATTCTGCAGATTCTTCTTCAACTTGGCAATGTATACATTAAAATCCTTTCAAGTCAATACAGATCTGTCGCGGAGGGTTCATTGCTGCAGTACCTTGATTTGCAGATGAGCACATGAAGCCACACAGGTGAGACGTGCGCACAAAGCCCAGGTCCCTGCTGCTCTGTGGTGCAGACCTGAGCCATTGGCCAGCAAGGCACTTTCTGAACAATAGTTAAGTTGTTTTTATCACCAGAGAGTGTTGTGATCGATAGCCTAGGCAGCTATCTTCATCTTCTGGTATTTTAATTAGCCTGAAAAACTCCCGAAAGGGTACCCCAGATCATATTTTAATTAATGTACTATACCATTTTCACAAGGGCAGCTACTGACATTGTCACACCGTGCCGTGGAGCAGCTGCCCACATGACCACTTGTGTTATCACTCTCAGGAATTTTTAATGGATTAAAAATGGCTATGGCAATGTGTTACCTTTAATTCTCCTATAAGTTGAAGCATATTTTTAAGATTTTATGTGCCTGTCATTCAATTTGATTCTTCTTCTATAATATGGCAATTTATGTTTTTTGCAATTTTTCTATTGTGCTAGCTTATTAATTTGAGAGTTCTCTGTACATTATATGTGTTGTGCTCCCTTGTGAGCTATTATTTTATTGTAGTTTTTGTAATATCTTAATTTATGATTTTGATGTTGTCTTTGCCCTTTGAAGTTTTCTTCTGTCTTTTCTTTCTGTCTTCAGTCTTCCTTTCCTTCCTCCCACCTTTCTTTCTTTCTTTCTTTTTTTTTTTTGTGATACCCTTTGATTATTTTTATTTTGAAGCAAGATTTCACTCAGCAGCTAAGTTGTCCTGACACTTAGGGTCCTCTTTCCTCAGTCTCCCAGGTTCTGGAATTATTGGGGTGGGTGCCACACCTGGCTGAAGTTTTCACTTTTGTGTGGCCAGAACTGCACCTTCCTTTTCTTTTTTTCTTTCTTTTTTTTGTCTGATGGTGTATGTAGTGTTTCTTTTGGCTTATTTTCTCCTTGTTCCAAAGTTATTCAAATGTTCTCCTGATCTTTCCGACTATGTGTCAGTTTTGTAATTTACATATGAGTCTTTCACAGACCTGCAACTGCTTTTCTCAATAGTGTCTGAAGGGAATTTAAACTTATTTGTGCTTAGTGTTTTTATAATGAAAGAATTATATATCTTTTTCTTGCCACTTTTAAATAAGAGGGACGCACATGCTCTTGGCTTTGGTTTTCCAAGCTGAAGTAGCTGGAGGAGAGAGGTTGTCCTGGAGGAGGTGCTGTGGATTGGGAGCTGCCTGCATTTGTAAGATCCCTTAGAGCACCAGCTCCCAAAGGCCAGGCCTTGCTGCAGCCTCCCAGGAAGCCCTCTGAAGGGGAGGCAACTTGGAAGCCAGCTGCTGAGAGGAGCGTGGAGTCCCGTACCAGCAGTCCTGAAAGCCACCTGCCATGTGGGGAGCAGAGCTGGAAGCTGTCCCTCATCCTTCTAGGGTGGGTTTCAAAACACTTGACTTGGGCACGCTCAAGAGTGGGAGGAAATTAGGGCCGGGGGATTTAGCTCAGTGGCACAAGCACCTGCCTGGCAAGTGCGAGGTTGTGAGTTCCATCCCCAGTGGGAGGAAGCTATTTCTGGTGCTTGGATAGGGAAAAGATTGTGGAATCAGAGTCCACAAGTGCCTAATGTGTCCTGGTCAGTGAATTCATATCTATTAAGCCACAGGTCCTCACTACAATGCTTGTGGCGGGCTGTTCTGTCCTGCACAGAGGCTCAGGTCAGTTGAGCGGAGTCAAGCTGGTGGTGAGTTCAGGGCTCACAGCTGCCTGGTAAGCACAGCCCATTGCCAGCTGCTCTGTCTCCCCAGCTGAGAGCTGCTCTGCTGGCAGCTGGAAGGGCAGTCTCCACAGGGCTTAGCTTTGGGGGCTCAGGCCCGCTGTGCTCCCTTCCTCCAGGGGCCTGCTGATTTCACGGAGGGAGATTCATCTTCCCTCCACGTGAATCCCTTTGAACTCCTGCCTCCACCGAGCGTTTTCTCACAATCCCCCTTTACTTCCTTTGCTGGCACCTGGAGTCTTTCTTAATCTCCAGAGAAAATCTGGCTTCGTTCATTTATGTTCAATAAAATCTCCCACAATTCACACTGGCTTGAGGTTTCTTTGTTCTGCTTGGAAATTCTACTGCTGAGCAAATGAGGAATGAGGTGGTATGCGGGCAGAGTAGGCTTCCTCTGGACCCCGACCTGTCCGCAGCATCATACCTATGCTAACCCATGTTTAAAGGCAGTTGAGAGGGTGGGGATACAGGTCAGGGATGGTGCTCGCAGAGCTCAATACTCAGTATCACAGGAAGAAAAAAAATGAAAGCAAAGCGAAAGCAAGGAAGAAAGAAAGCAGGAAAAGAAGATGCATATGAAATGCACTTGTGTTCCTCAGGTCCTGTTCCAGGGCTTGGTGTGCCCAGTGCCTGGTGAGAAGTCACATGATTCCGGGGCAATGTCTCACATCCTCCAGGCTACAGGAGAGAGGGATCGGAGGCCTTGACACCCCCTCCACAGCCTCAGTCCACAAAGGCCTCAGAGGAGCCGAGCCTGCTCACCGCCTTGTCCTCCTACTGAGCAGACTTGTGATCTGTCAGTAAAATATGGAAGCTGCACAGTGCTTCTTACAGTGACCCAGAAACCTTGATCTAGATATTTCTGTCCCAGAAAGACCTGTGAGCTCCTAGGTAGAAAAACACAGAGACTTCTGAGAAGGTTGGAAACAATTGCTTGTCGCTAGGTTTGAACCTATTAGCCTTCCCTCCAATGGTCATGTTCCTCTCCACATGCACCCCGCTGACCTCTGCTCCCCTCATCCCCAGTGTGGAGAGACAGCATGGCGGAATGGGGACTGGGGGAGAGGCAGGCTGTTCCCAGCCTGAAAAACCTGCTGAGGTGCTGTCGGCTCAGGGCTGAGGACCTCTTTACACATTTCCTTCTGGATCTCCACAGCTGGCACTGGGAGGTGGCTGTCTGTCGAGAGGTGGAGGACCCTCGCCCAAGGTCACATCATTAGTGCAAAGCCACAACTTCCAGTAGGCCCATTTCTGCTTCGCATAGTTGGTAATTGTGCTAAGTCTGTGTGCCTGACATACAGCAGGAAAAATGAACTCAGAGAAGACTCTGCCTCCAGCTCTTTTCCTGAGTCTACCCTCTCCCTTGGAGAAGCTTTGTGTTTGGTATACAAACAACATACTAGAATTTCTGTAAGTGGGGGTCTACTTTCAAAGGGTGGTGCTATTTCACTCGGTGTGCAGCATGAATGTCCTTTCCTTCTCCCTCGGTATCTCTATGCCAGGTGTATGTTTTGGTTGCTTTAGCAATTACACGGCATTTTACATGCATAATCCTATCTAATTCTTATCTAAATAGAGGTAAATTCTTACCTCTTTGCAATAAATGAGTCTGAACAGGAACTGCTATATATATTTCTACAGACAAGGAAATGAAGGCTCAGGATGACCAAATATCACAACTCCTCAGACATAACTGAGCTGGCACCAGAATCCAAGTTTTAAACCTTTAGTCGGGTTCTTTGTGGCTAAAACTGCGTGACACCTGAGAAGATCCAATTGTGCCCAAAACTGCCGAAACAGGCAGCTTCAAAAGATACACCATGGTAAGTTTCTTCTAGGTGAGTTTTACATTGGAGCCTTCCTAAAATCTTAAATCTAATCAATGTGCACAGGTAAAACAGCCACCAACTTCATGTCAGGAAGGAGGAAGAAGTTTAAACTGTTAAATAGAGGGCATCCTCCACTGAGGAAAGTGCGTATGCAAAAGCTCACAGGTCTGCAGTCCACTAGGGTGTGGGATCACATGAGCTGGTCTGGCTGAAGCCAGAGTACAGCAGGAGAGGGAGGAATGGAGCATGGACCAGCATGCCAGAGCAGGAGGGTGGGTGCAAACGTCCTACTAGCCTGGGGCAGTGGACTCTTCCTCCCTGACCACTTCAGGCAGCTACCAGCTACCACCGGGGGTCTCACTCAAGCCACACCAGTGTAAGGAGCACTGGAGGCTCAGCCTGTTGGGAGCCCTTGAAGCTGGAAACTGACCATATGTGCAGGGTTGCAGTATG